AGTTAGCATCATTATTAGCATTAGCAGCATTAGCAGGGTCAAAGGTCAGAGCTGCAGCAACACGTCGGGCGCTTATCGGATCCGAGTGGTAAAATAAAGTCAAAGTGCACACGAGTTCCAGCTGACTGGGCAGTTTGAAAAGATAATTATGGTTGATATTTAACCTGAACACGGAGATACGGTTCAGCAAATGCTCACTAAAGAGCCAAATTCAGCCGCTGAATTCATGTTCCTCTACATTCCTTTTTGGACTAAACTCCTGCAGGTTTTCCCTGAACCTGCTCAGGAGTTTCTGCCCAAACTGAGTGAGAGTTTGGTCTCTGGAGGAGGAAAAAAAGTTTCTGCTGCAGCTGCAAGGGACACCAAAGTGGAGTGGACACCCTAAACAGGGCCAGAAGAGGGCTGAGAAATGGGGCCAGAACAGGGTGAAAAAGGGCCAGAACTCTTCTTAAACTGGGCCAGAACTGGTCTCAAACTGGGCCAGAACTGGTCTTAAACTGGGCCAGAACTGGTCTTAAACTGGGCCAGAGCTGTTCTCAAACTGGGCGTTGCTGCTCTGACACCACAGCTGAGTGAACTCTGACCGGGTCTGAGGCTGTAAACCCCACAGGACACACCCTGCCTCTGGAGGAACCTTTGGGTCGGTGCTCTTCTGTCCCGCCCCCCCACTGAGCTCTCATAAGGAAGTGTATGACGGGAAAGCCTCATTTCCTCATTCAGCCGTCAGCCAGCCTGTCAGAGTCTCTCAGAGCTCACAGATCGGTTCTGTTCAGGGGAAAGTTGAATTGTTTAACTGTTTCTGACAGCAGAAATGGCTCAGAAAGGAGTTCAGCTGGACACAGAAAGCATTTCCTGCTCCATCTGTCTGGATCTCCTGAAGGATCCGGTGACTATTCCCTGTGGACACAGCTACTGCATGAGCTGTATCAAAGGACACTTTGATGGAGAGGATCAGAAGAGACTTCACAGCTGCCCTCAATGCAGGAAAAGCTTCATACCGAGGCCTGTCCTGGAGAAAAACACCATGTTAGCAGCTTTAGTGGAGCAACTGAAGAAGACTGGACTCCGAGCTGCTCCTGCTGACGACTGCTATGCTGGACCTGAAGATGTGGCCTGTGATGTCTGCTCTGGGAGAAAACTGAGAGCCATCAAGTCCTGTTTGGTCTGTGTGGCCTCTTACTGTGAGGAACACCTTC